GTCCTGCTTCCGGACAGCAACCCCCCCTCTCGGGACCAAGCCCCTCTGCGCTCTCTCACTTATCCAGCGTCCTGACCCCACGGTGGCTTCCAGGTCCAGAGCGTTCGATACGCCTGTCATCGAGCGTCAAAATAAAGCGCTAGAGGCTTGCCGGTTTGTGCGCCACCATACTACCAATTCGCTCTCGCATAGCCATGGGATGAGTTCGCTATCCCACGACAAAAAGGCATGGATGTATGGCTGTGTTGGCACACTCACACACACACACACACCCCGCGGCATCAGCCGTGAGTGGAAGGCTATGAAGGTTGCCGAGGTCCCCTAGGGTCTCCCCGTCCTGCCAAAGGCAGACGAATGAGACCGCAGAGCGACGTAAAGCGACCAACCGCAGTGCAATCAAATCACTTGTGCAAACGCCCAGAGATGCGAAATGCCAGTGATGGGTCGTTTGTGGCGGAGGCCTAGGCATCAAGCAAGCTACGACGGCGTTCGTTGGTGAGAGTCTGGTTGAGCAGAGCCTCAAAATCAACTCCAGAAAAGACCCTGCCAGCCTATCCTACACCTACCTGCTAACGAACCGCTTTCCACGTGTGGAAATGGAGAATGAAGTCCCCATCCAGCGGCTTTTTAGCCATAACGGGGCCTAGAGTGGAAAATATTCTCACTACTCTGGTCCATCCGTTGACCAATTCTGCCACGCAGTGTCAGCGATTCGCTTCCGGGCGAGGAAGGTCGAAACGTACGAGATCAATGTACTAACCGCGGGCTTCAATATTGGATGCCACCGCAAGTCCGGCCGGCTCAGGCCTGTCATTCTGACCTAGCCGCCGGGCCAAGTTTTCCTATCTGTCGGTTTGAATACTGGCCGCAGTGTATGTCACATAGCTCTTACTTGCAGCATTATACTTGCGCTCATGGATGGCGCGTTGTCAGCGACCTCGGCCTTTTCATGCTGTGCGTTTGTCATGTCACCTTCCCCGTATGTCCAGGGCATTGTGATACATGGGCTTAACTATGGCCAGTCTTGTGAGCTGCGTAAGCGTTATCTGTCTTGCAGTGCTACGAGTGTGTAAGCTGGTTTATCGTTGTGCCATAGTCTAGACTTCAACGTAGAGTGAATATTCCAAACAATTTACCAATTTTGCCATAAGCGTACATAAGCCATCCTGTTTCGTGTAGTGGCGGCTCAAACGACCTGCTTCGCATGCCAGCATTGTCATCCCGTATGATGTACGGCACCTCAAGTCCGCTGACGATAGGATCCTACAGGGCTTTCTTCGGTCTGCGAACGCAGAATGTGGGTGGGAAGACAGCGGTACCAATGCAGCGATGGATAAGGTAGCAGCGAAATTTGAGCATGCGGCAGTGGGCGTGCATTTTATGGCTTTGGATTATGAATGGTCTTGGAGTGATGCGGCATCCACGTTGTTCGGTGGCCGACGATGGACCGTACACGTGCGAATCACCTTGTCCCGCGCACGCTGTGAGGCTTGACATACTACGGAGCAGTCGTCTGCTCAGTTACGGTGGTGTTATCTTTGCACCTGCGAGATGACAGGCACCGAGCCCAGGAATTCCGAGGGGCGTGAAGTACGATAGCTGGGCGTGAAGGTGACAATTTTACAATCTAGAATAACATGCGGCCGGAATACGGGTCAAGGTTTGGACATCGACAAGCTGATGGTATTGTTTTTGGGTATTCTCGAGACGAGTAAGACAGGTTATACGCGCGTTGAATGCCGACCTGTTCGTAATAAGCACGAGGTATGGCAAATTGGTGTGTTCCATATCTCTACAGGTCTCCTTCCTTTCGTGTTGTTGGCGAATAACTTCGTCAGCCAATATACAGTATGTGACATGGGAACCCTCTTCGTCTCGGATATTAAGTTTGAGTACTGTGCTTCGTTCGCTGAACTTGGGCTTCTAGATGGTATCCTCGTGCCATTGGTTAATGATGCCATTCTTCGCCCAGGCTACCCGAGTATGACAAGGAAAATATCCCAACACACCCGGATGCTGCATGTCATTAGCTAGGGTCGATATCATTGTGGTATACGAACATAGTGACGGGAAACATTCAGCTGCCATATAGAGGAACGAGTGAGCCAGGCAATCGTTCCCCATATGTGGATATTTCCCATGTGGGATGGCGTCATGAATAATGAAGGGATGAGGCTCTTCGAGCGCTCAAATACGTCTCCTTATTTCATTGCACTTGCGCTTGCGAGCCGAGTAGGAAGCGAAGTAAGGATAATAACATTCATCGAGATACCCGACGCAGTTATTTTTCGCAACACATGGGCCCTGCGTTACGCTACTCGTGCTTCTGCCATCATATGATGGTTATCGTGGCGCCGCGAAGGCCGGTCATGTATTCGACGAGTATCAGTGTGTCAGAAGCAAGTTTCTTGATGGAATAGCCAATTCCAGCAGTTCGACCATTACACGGTGGGAGGTGGCTAATTGTCGAGGCTCATGTACAATACAATTGATGACCTCCTGCTACCCGACAAGCCAATCTTGCGCAGCATAATGGGCGTCTAGATATACCAGCGTCTCGCTAAAGTGTGAGTCGTTGCGCCCGATTCCCGTTATCGTGAGCGAGATGTTGGCAATCTGCGCGGCTTTCGTGCTTATTTTCCCTGTAATCGCCACGACAGAATGAACATGACGAAACGCGTAAGGCATACTGAGATAGGAATTCATCATACTGAACTCTCTGCTACATGCCTATTAGGCAGCATTCTTAATGGCTGGAGCTACGATTTACCCCAAGGAAGCACAGTATCTTTGAGCGATGAGTCTACGAAGCCGAGCAAGAAGCTACCACGGCACCATGCAACTGGGACCTTTACACAACTCGTAGATCAACGCAACCCGCGTTTCGAGACTCTAAACCCACAGTAGACATCGTCGTGATATGTCGTCGTCGTATGCCTTACTCGAAAAGTGTAATTGTGACTGTTGCAATAAGATGCTTCAAGACCTGCATTACCGAATAGTTCCCACTACCTATAGCCTGGAGGACAAACTTTGCCTGTTATTCTCACCCGCAGAAGAAGTAGCCGCCCATGCACAGAAAGGTGCGCGTTATGAAATGGCATATTTGATGATCTGATATTAAGCCAATTCTGCTATTTTCATGACGCGCGCAAAATGTCTTCACCCCGAACTTGAAGTACTATGCGGATGAGTTCACAAGGCCGAAGGCCTCTCGATCTCTCGCGGCAGCGGCATCAGTTCAAAAAGACATTTACAATACATTATATTTCAAAACCCAAACCCACTTGCGCCGCCATTGGAAAGGTATCCGCTGGCTCAATCGCTGATACCTCGAGACCATGAAACGGCAATTACCTCATTACTTGTTATAACCAGGTACTGTCCAGGCAGGAATGAAACATAACGTACGAACTATTCATCATGCAGTTCACATCTGTATCAACACGACAGTGATATGTTGATAGGTATTATTCAAAGGGTCCCATCAATTGAAGCATAATATCGTCGACCCGAGGAGAGTAACAAATACACCTTAGATGCGAGGAGCAGGTTCCCCAAAAGGACCTCATAAATTCTTCGCCTGTCCATGTTTCTGAGTTAAATATCTGACCCGGGTACCTAGATACAACAGCCCACTGGGTTGGCTCGATCAAGGAAGACTGAGACTCCCTTCTCAAATTGCTAGGTCTGAACCAACGCTCGAGGGGACATGTAAGGGGCACCAAATCTTGCAAGTTATGTGATAACAATTGTTGCTCCTCCAGTCCAGCGTTTGGGCCTGAAGTCCACCATAACATACCGTTTCAATATTGGTGTTGTGTAGTCATGCCATCTCCCCTGGACCAACAAGGCAAAGGGCGAGCAACCAGTCTCTAATACTGACCTCGGAACGATACATTGGAGTTATGACAGCAATGATTCAGCAACGAGCTACGTAGCTATGCCCAAGATCCACTGGTGTTTGTCGACGGTGTTCACGGTGTCATCGAGCTCAATAGCAACAACGAAAAGGAAGACCCGAAGCATGGCCCGATTTCGGAGCGTTACCTTCCCAATATCATCGGCAAGTGAGCCAAAATTGATTTTGCTCCTGCGGGCAAGAGAATACTTAGGTTCAGCAAGGCGTAGAACGGGGACACACATGTCTTCAGCTACTAGTGAGTGTATACCAAACAAGCCCAAGATCTCTTGCTACAGAGACAACGAGCCCGCCTTGAGAGAGCAAAATTTATTGAGGAGTGTTCTACCCAAAAAGATGTGACCGAACCAGGATTCGAACCTGGAATCTCTTGATTTACTGCAATCGTAGTCAAGCGCCTTAACCATTGGGCCATACGGCCTGTCGTTGTAGAGAGCAGATTCCCCAACAGCGATGAGGGCAGGATGTGAAATTTCCAATGATAATGTCTTGTGGGATTATTCTGAGGGGAGATACTGGTGGGCGAAGTGGAGGGAAAGAAAAATCATCGTGAAAGAACCCCATCCGGAACCCACTCGGAGCGAGAGCAACACAAAAAACTAGACTGAAAAGACGGACTAGCGATCGTGTGTCATCCTTACCTCAACGGCCGCGAGGCTTGTTCGCTCCTGGTGGAGTCAAAAACATCCCACTGAATGGGTTATCTCAGGTATTTGGTGCTCAAACGAAGACAAAGTACCGGTAAGTGACTTGAATGGGATAACTTGGGCAAGTCGAAGTAAGTATTGGCGCGAGATCTCTATAAGACCGCACCTTGAAAACAGGTTCTCCACCTGCTTGGAGTAATGCACAAGACTATCTCGATGAGAATAAGAACGGTACAGATGAACTGGCGGCTTTTTTAATTAGATAGCCTCAGCAGTTCGCCATGGGAAGGAATTCGTGCCTGGTTGTGACAGTGCGAATCTCATCACGGTATCGAAGTGGAGATCATATAACATATATAATGCTGGTTAGTGACTTAAAAATCTCAAGCGAAGTCACAGTGGCTCAGTCACTGAACACGCCCCAAGAAATTGGCCGTATGGCCCAATGGTTAAGGCGCCTGACTACGATTGCAGTAAATCAGGAGATTCCAGGTTCGAATCCTGGTTCGGTCACTACTTTTGCCACTGCGCATTTTTTGGGGGGGGAGAAAGCTGAGAAACGATTCAAAATTTAAATGGCATTTTTGGCTGCATTTATTGACATCCAAGCTATTCGTGTTGTCATTGGAAGCGAAGAGGCTTTTTTTAAAGTAGTGGAAAGTGCAAAAGTTATTCCTCATCGTATAAACGACGACGAAATACCCCGACGCATCTCTAGTCCCGTTGCTGACAGGAGCTTGGACCTGGTGGCAGACGAGAGGATGCCACAGTACCTACCTCTTTTGTAGGTGCAGGCAAGGAGTATCTCGCTCATTAGAGACACGAGGTTCAACGCCGCATCCGCATCATACTATGTGTTTCTTCTGATACTCATTCTGCTTTGGTTTCCTTCGTTTTCCTCTAAATTGTGCATTTGCTACTCTTGTTTAGTAGCTTAGGGGACCCTGCCTCGACTATAGACTGGATCTTTTGTTTGCGCGTTGTATCCGCGGACCCCCTCCACACCTTCAATGTGCTGTCGCAATCCGCCCATGACATCAGGGAACAAACTGGACCAAGCACCTGCATCTTCTTAAAACTGACGACCTCCCACCATCAGAGGTTTTCCGGCATCGAGCGATGTGAAGACTTGTTTGCAGCTGAGCCAGCCTCTCCATCTCGCTCTACACACAATGGGTGTCCGACGCGTTAGGATACTGGTCGGCGTCGTAGCTGCATGGCTGCTTGTATCATACCATTATGGATGGCCAAACCTAGGAGGCTCCGGATTTTTCAGCCCGACGCCGGACACACACGCCGCATCTGGGCCGGTCCGATGGCGCAGACTGACTACAAGGTACCCCGTCAAGTCGCTGGCATCCCTTCCGACCGACCTTCCAGCCAAACCCGTACCCAGGGTCCAAGCACCAAAACCGCAAGAAAAAACGGCCGAGAGAGATAAGCGTTTGGAGCGCCTCGGGGCCGTGAAGGAAAGTTTTGTACATAGCTGGGAAGGGTACAAGAAGCAGGCTTGGGGCCATGACGAGATCAAACCGATTTCGGGCGACTATAAGGATCCTTTTGGGGGATGGGCTGCTACACTGGTTGACTCTCTGGACAGCTTGTGGCTCATGGGTTTGACGGATGAATTCGAGATGGCTGCTCGGGCGTGTGCCGAGATCGATTTCACCACTACGAAGGCACGGGATATCAATGTTTTCGAAACCACCATCCGCTACCTGGGTGGATTCCTCGCCGCATACGAGCTCAGCGAAAAGCAATACCCGATATTACTGAAAAAGGCTACCGAAATAGCTGACCTCCTTATGACGGCCTTTGACACACCGAATCGCATGCCCATCACCCGCTTCCCTTGGAAAGATTACATGAAAGGCAAAGACCTGAAGGCTGGATCGTCTGTCCTCGTGGCCGAGATTGGGTCGCTGAGCTTGGAGTTCACGAAAATGTCGCAACTGACGGGCGATATGCAGTATTATGATGCCGTGCAGCGCATTTACGACGAGCTGGAGGAAGGTCAAAGCAGAAGTAGTCTACCTGGGATGTGGCCAGTTATAGTGAATGCCGCCAGATCGCCCATGGAGTTCAAAGGCGACTCTTTCAGCTTGGGAGGCATGAGCGACAGTACCTTTGAGTATCTGGGCAAGCAATATCTATTGCTAGGGGGCGCTTTCGAACAACCCCGAAAACTGTACGAAAACTTTATAGAGGTGGCAGAAAAGCACCTCCTGCGCAGCGCGCTGAATCCCGAAGACCGACCAATAATGTTCTTTGGAGACGTACGCATCGCGAACCCACCTGGCGATGAAGCGCCTTACCCGGTGACATCGCCACGCGCGCAGCACTTGACGTGCTTTGCTGGTGGCATGGTCGGAATGGCTGCTAAGATCTTCGACCGCCCAGCAGATCTCGACGTAGCCGCGCAGCTGACAGATGGTTGCGTGTGGTCTTACAGCAGTACGAAAACTGGTATCGGGCCCGAGATATTCCATTTCATTCCTTGCGAACCCGACAGCCGTATGGATGACTGTAAATGGAGCGAGAGGCGCTGGATCGATTCGGTGAAAAAGCACTGGACGCCGTCATCGCAGAGTAAGGACTTCCACAAAATGCCGGACGAAAGAGCTGAGAACATCATCGATACTAGGAGATTGCCCTCGGGGATGGTGGATGTGAACGACCCGAGATACATTTTGCGCCCCGAGGCCATCGAGTCGGTCTTCTACATGTTACGAATGACAGGCGACTCGAGGTGGATGGACAAAGCCTGGGATATGTTCACGGCGGTAGAGAAGTTCACGCGGACAAGCTATGCGTCGGCGGCCTTGGATGATATCACGTATAAGAAACCGTCACAGGTGGATAGCATGGAAAGCTTCTGGCTCGCTGAGACGCTGAAATACTTCTACCTGATATTCGGGGAATGGGACCTAGCGGATCTAGATCAGTGGGTTCTCAATACAGAAGCCCATCCCCTACGGCGCGCAGATGCTGGGGGAGGGTGAGAGGTTGTGGATGTATGATGGATCTAATAAGGACTGGCCTCTGTACATAGGGACAGTGCATCTCGGCTCGTTTCGTTGTAAAAAGAGTTCATGTACGTATATGGCTCGTTGATCTAGATGGATGCGGACATAGGCGTAGCGGTGTAGTATATTTTGAAAATGGCCCCGTCGGTAGTGTTCGGGGCTCACTGCAATAGACTGACAAGGACCATTGGCAGGCTGTCACAATTTCCATTTGTGTTCCTTAGCTGGTGCTGGTATTCTGCTCCATCATCCATCACGTTATATTTTCAATCATGGTCGCTCGCCCTGTGCACAACGTGATGTCTCGGCAATATTTGTGAGCCTGTATTATGATGTAGGTAGTGAAACACAGTATATTGTGGGTGGTTTCGACAGCGTAGTATTCGCCAGTCTCTGCGGTTCATACATGCGACGATCATCCGATGAAACAAATACCCCTGGACGTCAAGCACGACCCTGGGCCTCCCGTTGTTCTATAAAGAGATGGACCCCAGAATTCCGAGAGAGAGTCCAAAGATGTTCCGATTGACAATTGACGTTGGATGCTGAGGCCCCAACTTCCGCACCAACAAGACGACTATCACAACAAGAACAACAGGGTGGGACATAACGAAGAGACACGCGCATGTCTGCTTACCTATCTCCCTACCAAGGGTTGGTTGCCTACCTAAGGAAGTAGCTGCTACTACTACTACTAGAGGCAACCCCTCTCGACCTCCTTCTGAATCGGCCCTAGCCAAGCCAGACGGGCGATGCCAAATACCAATCGCCACTCGCCATGGCAGTGACTTGGGGGAGCATATCTCCATCACTGTGTAAGAATGGAGAGGGGATGGCTCGCACTGCCGGATGGCCAAGGGCTTGTCATTGAGGTATTTTCCTTGACCGCCATGATGTCTCTGCACGTGTGCATATGGATAGGTCAAGTAAGTAAGTAAGTAGGTATTGGAGGCCCCCCTCGAGAAGGCAGCTGATTGCGATTGGCAGTTGGCAGTTAGGAAGTATGTAGGTCACTAGTATGGATGTACCCGTGTTGAAATGGAGTAGGTTGAAAGTGAGATTACGTGTGGCGCGCATACCGAGCTTTTATAGCTCTGGCTTCATCTCACTTGCTTACGAGGTAGGTATCTTTCCGTCTCCCTTTGCATACATACCTATCGCACGGCAACCTTCGACTCAACGAGTTTTGTCGAAGAGTTCACTGCTCGCTGCGTTCTTTCGGACAAGGCACATCAGTTCGACCTACCCAAGGCATACGGACCGACACCATGGAGCCCGACCTGTCCGCCAGCATCACCATGCACCCGCATCCTTTCTTACGCCGCGACGACGACCGAACAGCGAGTCCGGCGCGCTCGTCCACTCCGCGTTCTTCCCACCGCACCCCAACAGCTCATGCGCACAGCACTCTGTCCCTATCACAGTCCCACCCGGCAGAAAAGAATGCTACCAGTACAGGCGTGGAAGCTGATGCGGCCGACGAAGGCGACCAACTTCCCGTCGCGCGACACTCTTCTACTGCTGTCACCGACGTCGAGTCCAATACCGGCACCGCACGCTATGCCTCCAACGATCCCTACAATCTCACTTCCGCCTTTAAAACGGATGAACAGCTCAACGAGATCAGGGCTAACACCTCTCGCAAGCGCCAGGGCACTGTGTCGGGCACTCCGGTGAAGAGCGCTGTCCCGGGTGCGGGCGTCCTCAAGACCAGGTTTCACAGCCGGAAAATACAAAGCTTTTACCAGAAACAAAATGAAACCATCGAGAGATTATTGAAAACTGTCGAGGAGCATCGCGCAGATGCCAAGCAGGAAGCAGGCGAGGACCACCTGAGGCACCAGATCGCCGTCTACGGCTCCTTTGGTGCGAATGTCGTCCTCAGCATCCTGCAACTCTACGGTGCCATATCCTCGGGCTCTTTGTCCCTGTTCACCACCTGCGCCGACTCGGTCTTCGATCCCCTATCAAACCTAACTCTGATCCTCACACACCGCGCTGTGAAGCGTGTTGACCCGAATCGGTTTCCTTCTGGAAAAGCCCGCCTGGAGAACGTGGGCAACATCACCTTCTGCTTCCTCATGATCGCTGTATCCCTGATCCTGATTGCCTTTTCGTGCCAGGACATTTCGCAGCGCGCTGGAAGCGGGCATATGGTTAACGACTTCCACCTGCCCTCCGTTATCGCCGTGAGCGTTGCTTTCTGCACGAAGCTCGCGCTGTTCTTCTACTGCTGGGGCATCAAGGACAAGTACAGCCAAGTGGATATCCTGTGGCAGGATCACCGCAACGATCTGCTTATTAACGGTTTCGGTGTGCTGACTTCTGTCGGTGGCTCCAAGTTGGCATGGTGGCTGGATCCTATGGGTGCTATCATTCTTTCCGTCCTGATCACCTGTATCTGGCTGCGCACTGCACTCAAGGAGTTTTTGCTGCTTGTGGGCGTAGTAGCCAGTGTCGAGATGCAACAGCTGATCACGTACGTCT